CGTAGAATCAACTTTTTGGAATTTTCTGTCTAGAAATTTGTTTTCCTCAGTGGAATTTTCGCACGAAATTCGACTATAGCCTGAATACAATATTATGCCATTGTTTTTAAATTTTTGACGAATGCCTCGATTATTTGGGGCTGGGAAATTTTTATAGTGCTAAAACGTGATGTGCGCTTTAGTTACAAATGCACTTGGTCAAGAGAAATAGACCTGGAAAGTATATTTGGCTAAGAAATGATATTTGACAGTGTTCTATATGTATTCGGAGAAGTAAGGTACATGGTTATTTCTGGCCAACAGAATCTATTGATTGAACAAGAGAATCAGGCTTGGAATTTAATTGAAAAAATTGTGGACCGTTTTCAGGTAGAAGAGAGCACAAAAGTATATAATCATTACATTTTTTGGCGCTGGAAAATTTTTTAAATGCGAAAAAGGGGTGAGCGCTTCAATAAAAAGCGAACTTGTTCGAGAAAAATTGGCCTAAAAAATATTCGACTCGAAAAATGATATTTTACAGTGTTCCAAATACGTTGCTATTTCTGGCCAGCAGAATCTTGAGCAAGAAAATCAGGCTTAAAATTGAACTGAAGAATTGTTGATTGCTTTCAGCTTGAGAGTGAGACCACAAATGAATTGAATTCGTCAATGTTTGAGGAGATGAAGTTGCTGTAACCATAAATCCGCAAAAAGAAGCATCCGAACTCCGGTGATTATCAAAAAGAAGCATCCAAACTCCGGTGATTATCAAAAACATGAAATCGCGTCCAGTATTTTACGGGCCCAGTTTATTTCATTCTATTTTCGAAGCAAAAAAGGGTAGGCTTAATATCGATGTCGTTATATAGCATAGTGGTGAATTTAAAAAGCCTGTTCTTGAATTTATTGAGTGGCAATGCTAATCTGGAAAAATACGCGTACACGCTGAAAATTTTTCATTTGAAAAATATATAGGAAAATTTGAACGATGCACACAAAAAAATCTGCGAAATCGGCACGTGAAAATTTCCAAAAGATTACGAGTGAAGTGAAGTCCCAGCAGAACCCAGTATTGTGTTCAAAAACTTCAAAATTCTGAAGTGTTGATTTTTTTAAATATGAAGTGTATAAGAAATTAAGAACTACACAGTAATTTTTTATCTTTTGGCAATACTGTACCTGAATTCTGAAGTATTAGTGTGTTACTTGCTCTACACTCAAATATCTCGCGGATAGGCCGCGAAGGTGTCTTTGGAAACATTTATTTGAATGAAAAAATTGCCGCCTTTAAGGCGGGTAGATAAGATATCAAGGACATGTCCTAGCTGATTTATACCGTTGTACATTTGTCTGTTACTAATCTCGATTTCCTTAAAAAAAAGACAAGGTCAGCTTATTATTTTTTAAGCATTGATACCAGCTTTACATTCCGAAAATAAAACCTCGCTACTTGATAACTTATCTTTGTACTTCATGACTTTATCTTTTCCCAAGTTGATAAATTCCGTAAAACAGTGAACATTGTTGGCTGTGACAGTAGAAGAAAGTTAAATATTACACATGATCAAGAATTGAAATGATTACTCAGTTTTTTTTTTATCCTGATGCAATATGATAAATATTTTTACCAATCTCCAATTGCACATCATGTATTCTGTGAACTTTCTCTTTAGAAACATGGCTTTGTCATTTGTAAATGATCAAAGGTTATCATTACTTGAAATTTTCGCTATCTCATAGAGATGCTAATCCTCTTAATTGTATTCCTGGATACATTTTTGTGACATTCAATAAGATGATGCATTGGATATATAACTGCCAATATTGTTACAGAATGTACCAACTTCTCCTTTGTAAAATTTGGAAATTGTGTTAAATTCTAATCAAAATTGGTATAATCGAGGTTCTCAAACACATTCTCATTGTTACGTCCGCCTTGATGATTAATTTTTTTTTTAAAGAAAGCTTCACAATATTTTTCAAGTTTTTGAACTGAGGGCTCATGCTGCTTCGGGAGAAATCAGAATTTGAACCATGATTAGCTAAATTTTGCGATGTGTATCAAGAAATTGCAATCTCTGATTTTAAAAAATAAATGTGGCCAGCAAGATAACTTTGAGTGTCGCTGTGATCTGCTATTGATCTTTACTTTTAAAATTTCTAGTTCAAGGGATGAAATTTAACTTATACCTTATCTTTTGTGAGTACAAAAACAGCGCTTGGCGGATGTAAAGGATTCAAGGACCAAACAGTGCCAATAAATTCTGCACTTTTCGTCCTCATTTTCTTGCAACTTCAATCGCTGGGCTTTGTCTGATTTCTGTTCCTTGCCATTTTTCTGAGACAAAAAGAAATCCCAATCCGGTAAAAGAATAACTGAAACTATTTAAATTTTGCGCTTTTCATTCGAACACGACGGTTTTCGGCTGAAGGCTCGAAGGAATCTTTTTCCAAATATTTTGAAAGAACATAAACTCAAAGGCTCACATTTTTTCCAGGATTTTATTTCTCCCAGGCTCAGTGAGACAGACGTGTCAAAACGCCCGAAGTGGTGGGAAACGTGTCCGGAAATAAACAAGGATGCCCTGACTTCGTCACGTATGTTTGTGAAGGATGCGATGGCAATTGTCTTATTTTTTTGAAGTAAATAGACAAAAATCGTGAAATGTTTTTTAAAAGGTCGAAGTATATGGAAAAGATAAACTGTGAACCGTAGGAAGAAACACAATGCGATTAGTTCCGCCCTCAGAATTTTTCGAAACGCTTATACTTTTTCGACCCCCGCACTTATTTTGGCGTGCTGATTTCCTTCGGTGAAACTTTCTTTTAAACTGTGAACCGTAGGAAGAAACACAATGCGATTAGTTCCGCCCTCAGAATTTTTCGAAACGCTTATACTTTTTCGACCCCCGCACTTATTTTGGCGTGCTGATTTCCTTCGGTGAAACTTTCTTTTCCGAAGGTGATTCGTGTCGTGGAATGTCGAATTTGACATGCATTTCCTGACATGATACCATCTTCTTTCTTCTTTTTTTAAAGCTTGAATTGGGTTTGATAATTCGTAAATATTGTGTCACTGAAAATTTTGAGCCTCGTCATGGCCAACTTTTCGGGAAACCTGGAAAAACCAACAAGGAAATCGTTGCCTGTTTTGCACATCACTGGCAGCTATTACGAAGTTGGCTACGAAACTGTGAGTTTCAATACTTTTTGAATACTGTATCAAGAAAAACTGAATCATAATGCAGTTGAACCTCTGTAAGTCAAACCTCACTAAGTCAAATATCTCCCTAACTTGAATTTTTTTCAAGTCCCCATCTGAATTCCCTTAGAAACAATTAAATGCATTAAAAACCTCTCTAACTCAAAGTAATTTTCACCAAAACGTCTGTAAGTTGAATTTTCTGGTCCCTTTTGGTTACTATTCCCTAGAATATGAAAAAGAAACTCAATGAAACAAATTTATTTATGCATCTTGATAGAAACTGAAAGACTAATTAAGCAACTGAACCCCATGTACCTAAGTTCAGCAAGCTGTAAACTCATTGAGAAGCAAATTTGGGCCCAGAATATCCTCATTTACAATTTTCTGCAATTGTTTTTACTTATGCTTTAAGCAAGAAAGATTGTTTCCCTAACTCAAAACCTCCAAAAATTGAAACCTCCATAAGTCAAGACCTCCCCAAGTCAAATTTTTTCATGGTCCCTAAAAGTTTGACTTAGAGAGGTTCAACCGTATTTTGATTACATTTATGTCCATTAATCATTATTTCGCAAATAATTCCGCTAAACCACTTCCGAAGGTTGTCAAGAAAAATGCGAGAGAAAAAAAAACAACTCAGCAACCCTTTTTTATTGCCTCCGGATGGCATTCATGGCTTCTGTGGCGTATATGTATGAGTTAATGGGGTTCTGAATGTCATCTTGTGTGAAGATAGGTCAAAGAAAGATAAAAAAGAAAGTACAGGGAAAGAATGGGGTTTCATCTCGATGACCGAAACCCTTTTGTGTATCGTGACAGGGTCGAGTGTTCGGACAAAGGATCAAACGGTTCGCCAAAAAGACGAAATTGCAACTGGAGAGTTCTCGTTTCTATGACTCGGGATTGGCAGAGAAAGTTTCCGCGACTGCGGCTAAAATTGTGCAGACCAACTTTCCGCAATTCTGGGAGGAACTCTGGGGCATGGCTGATGGCTCGCAAATTGACTTTCACGAGGTTAGTGTGCTTTTCAACTTTAAATTCGCGATTTTTCATCATGGAAATACTGTACTGAGTTCAGATCCGTAAAATGTACAAAACGTTGATAAGTGGGTTTAGGCATGAAACATAGATTCAAGCTTGGGATTTTGTGCATGGGAATTTCCTCAAAACCCAGGTGGGGGTAAAAAAAAAAGTGCACTATCTTCATCTCCTAATAATGGTGACACAGAATTTAGAAATCAAATCAAATTTATCTCAAATTGCATCAAAATTAAATTAAAATTTTAGTAAGGATGTTGTTGACTCAAAATTGTGGATGATAAAGCTTTTTCAAGAGGTTGACTGATCAATCAGGCAATTTGTTTTGTTGACTGAAATACCAGTGGTACCTTGCAATTAAACCTCCAGAAATTCAACCATCACACAATTCAACAGTCAAATTTGCTTTGAGGTCAACTTGCCATTTGATCTCTTTCCCAAAATGAAACCTGTTTTTGTCTCTCTTCTAGTGTTTTTGTGATGTTTGCCCTTCAGATTCTAAAGAGTGTCTTGCCATTCAACTGTTTTGAAATTTTACCCTAGTTAGGCAATGGGTTAGGGTTGAATTGTGAGGTACGGCCTGTACTCAGATTAGGTAATTGGTAATCTAGGACAAGCTTGTTTGTTTTCTTGGGTAGTTGTTACTGTCAAAAATGTGATACAGTATTATGTACTTGTTGGGGACACCCTTGTTATCTGAGGCTCGTTTCTATGCATTTGGCCTGAATTTGGACATGATAATATTTTCTTCTACACGTAGAAGAACGTATTTGTAATAAGGATATTTCACTGTGGTAATTATTTTCAAATCTATTTCGTTATCACGCCACTTTTAACCCTTGTGAGGCAAAGTTGGGATATTTTTGCAAAATTTTCTGCCACTGGGCACTGGTAATAAAAAAAGTTACTTTTTTTTACCAAGGGCTAAGTCCAGAAAAAAGCCAAGATTTTTTTCTAATCCTGCAGAACATTTTCAACACAAATTTTTTAAAAATCCCTGGCTGGGTGGCGTTTTTTCCTGCATTCCTGGCATAGGATTTGCATGGAAAAATCTTGGGAACAAAAGAGAATTTGCCTCCCGGATTTCTCAGGACTTAGTCCTCCTCAACCTGGGCGCATTTCAGTAACCTTGGGTCAAACTGAAATGCACCACCCCCCAGAAAAATTCCAACTCTGTGGTGCACTGAGAAAGAGCACTCTGCCATCCCAGGGTTAAGGCAAATATTCCACCAGGAAGAATATGTAGAAAAAAACATATCCTGTGTTGGATCAAAATGTCAAAACACATCAGCAGTCAGCCTGGGAATTATTCTGCCACAAGGGATTCTGAGGGAAGGAGTAGTATTGGATGGAAACAACAAAACACATCATTCAGCCTGGAAATTTCGGTTGGGAACCTTTTTCAAGGGTTCCAGCAAAAAGTAAAGACACTTGCGGAATAATTTTTTCCATATATGAAAAAGCCTGAGGAATCCCCGAAGAATATTGGCTCCCCCCTCGAAATACTGAGTTTATTATCTGATCTTGACCGGTTTTCATGCATTTTTAGACAAACTTTAATTACTTTTCGCTTTTTGGTCAAATGCTTTTTATTCTTGGTTATACGCGGAGGAAAAGTTTTTATTCGAAGATGACTCCAAAATCATTTGATTCTCCCCAAATTTATGAAATGGAAGAATAAAGCCTTAGAAGAAAGTAATGCTGATATATCAAATAACTCCGGAACTGTCAATGAATCATTTAAAATTATTTAGCAATCCTGTTTGGTCTGTGAAAATTTTCTTTGGGCGATGAATCGATTTTTGGTCGAACTCTGAACAGGAAAATTGGTTCGCAAGGCCTTCAAGTTCGTATCGTACTGTATTTCTGAATGGACTTGATAATACTTTTCTCCATTGAGATTGAATATTCCGAAAAATGTTGCGCTCATAGAAATCATAATCTGTGAAGTTATTTTCTTCTTGCAACTAAAAACACACTCATAAAAAGTAGCACCACACAAAGGAAAGTGATATCCTGAACTACCTTTTTTTTTTGTTGGAAACACAGTACCTTACATTGTCCACTTAGATATCAGAAGTTTGTCTTCTCATCATAGACTTCATCTACATGCTGAAAACTTGTAAAACCCATGCTTCTCATTTGCCGTATCATGAATAACAAAACAAAGAGCTCTGAGCAAATGGAGAGAGCGAACTTTCGCGCTCCGAACTTTCCTCATAGCAGCATTTCTCATTCTAATGCTCTGTATGGAACAACGACCTTCAACAAAATGTGCAATTAAATTTTATTATCCACGCATTCAAGAACCTCGTCCCGAGCAAGCCTTCTTTTTTTTCAGGACGAAAACGTCATTAAACAAAATCTTGCTCCATTCCCAGTGGCTGAAAATAAAATGACTCTGCTTTGCATGGGAGTTAAAAAATTAAAGTGGGTCCGGAAATATCCTCCTTAGCCGAATTTTAAATGTCCAAAGGCGAAATAAATTACCTCTTCCTGTGCTTTTATAGTCACTCAGTTATTGCTCACAATCATAGCTGTCGTTTCAGCTTTAAGTATGCTTATAACCCAAAATTAAAGCAGATCAATTGTCAGTTTACGCTGTGGGTGATTGATTCATTGTTTCCTCTGACGAAATAATTCGAAAATTTTCGAACTCCCGTCTACTCTAAAGCAAACTTCATAAATTTTGTCATGTTTTGGCATAATCAGGAGGAAATAAGGTCAAAGTAATTGTCAGGCTTCATAGAGCATTCATCTTCCCAGTTTGGCCCTTCTCTTGAATTAAATTGAACAGCAAGCTTTATTGTCTGCTATTCAGCATTCACAGGGTTCAAACAATGTTCCCACATCCAAACCCCACCCCACCCACATTCATCCAAACAAATCCTGCACATCAGAAAGGAAAATAGAGAAACAAACTGTGCATGGATATTGAAAGAAAATAAAATACATCCCAAGAAGTTGAACTGCACAACTGATATAAATAGGTACACTTTCTTTCCTTCCTTGTTCACTAAAACAAAATATCATGTCATCTTAATTTAAATGAGTCCTCAAACAGGTCAAGAATACCCTGTTCTTGAACTGACTTTAGCATTCCCAAGTTCCGCTTAGCAACCAACCAGAATCTGTAGACTACAACCCTGCCACATTGTCTGGTCACCAGTCATTCATGCAAACTGTAATGCGCTGGTTTACTTTTTGGTTATGCATGGTCAGTTACCTGTCTTGTGCATCTGTAATCTATAAAGGAGTGTCCAAAAAGTTTTTTCAGGGTCATTGTTGGTTTGGCTTATGCTGTGTATGCATTGCAGATATTTAAATAGAAGCACTTACTTGCTAAAGAGAAGTTCTCTCATTTGCACTACCCCAGCTACGAGGGTTCTAACAAAAATTCTTGGAGTAGCAATGAAAATGGCATACAATTGAGCTGAAAAAATGTATTCTCTAGCCAAAACATATTCTTTGGCACAAAAAAAAATCAGCCTGGTTTGACAATTTTTTTTACTTTTTTGCAAAATTCATCCATATAGAGTTTTGCTCTCCACTCAAAAAATGAAGCGCCCTTTTTTTGTTGTAGCCCAACTTTCCCCTCAGAATTTTTGAAATAAACTTGGCATTCTTTCTAAGGGTTGCCTCCAGGTCATCCAAGGCAATTCTGCCATTTTCATCAACAGACGCCTTCACAGCCACCAAAATGGCGGCCAATGTGGCGGCTGTGAAGGCGGCTGTTGATGAAAATGGCGGAATTGCCTTGGATGACCTGAAGGCAACCCTTAGAAAGAATGCCAAGTTGATTTCAAAAATTCTGAGGGGAAAGTTGGGCTACAACAAAAAAAGGGGCAAAAAGCGGCAATCATATGCCATTTTCATTGCTACTCCAAGAACTTTCGTTAGAACCCTCATATAAAGATTAATAACTTCTTGACTTAGTTTATTCCTGACAAGAAATCACCAAAATGAAATACAGAGTTATTAAGCAAAGAAGACATTCAACGCATAATTGTTTAATTTCAATTTACTTGGGATAACAATCAATAAGAATTGCAGCAAAAAAGCAATTACTAAACCCAAATTAAAGCACAAGTCCCTCATCTGACTTAACTTTTCGAAACAGACACAAGAAACGGCACAATTTATTCTTTTTTCAGGTCAGTGTCTGTTCATGCAATTAAAATGTGCCGTTTTCTTGTGCATGCATGCGAAGAACCTGCTCAGTTTGCTTTTGCGATAAAAGCAAGCAAGGTTCTCTGGAGTAGAAAATTACCTCGTGCATATCAAATGATTCGGAAATATCATTCCACCCCAGTACAGTATTTTCCTTTTCCCGTCATATCCTGTCGAATATTGCTTCGTAATAATGGAGTCATTGTGCCGTGTGGAGGAAAAACGAAGAAAGAAAAAAAAAAGGAAAATAGAAACACACAGCATAGAGGAAGAAAATTGTGCACGTGTCTGTGTTATCTTTTACGCCAACGTTGCTTGCTCTGGTCATCGCACGCATTTCCGGGAGAATACAAGCTGCACAATGTAATGGATGGCGTAAGAAGCATCAGGCAGGAAATGGTAGTCTCATTGGTATTCCTATCCGATTCTGGTATTCCATTCCTTTTTACTTTCTCGGGCAGAAACCGGAAGATTGTAGAAGTCAACAGAGACATCGCATTATTGGGAGACGAGGAATTTCTTTGCAATGCATATATGGGTCTCACAATGGATTCACTTCAGAGGAAGAGATGATGTTCATGTCCAGTCATTCGAATTTTGCGCTTGGTAAAAGACTCTTCTGACAATACTAAAAAATCAAAAGGAGTTTTTTGTCAGTGGCTGTTGTTTATCATTTTGCTGTTTGATTTAATTCACCAACTGTAGTTATATGAAGATTCCAGTTTTTAAGCAGTTACTTGCATTCAGTTCAGTTCACTTAGTTTTGAGGTTTACTGTCTGCTCAATTGAGAACTCAACCACTTTTCCCCCAAAAATAAAGAGGATTTTTTGAGAAATTATTTTTGTGGGCCAAGGAGTGACCAGATGATTTTCTCCCTTGGCCCAGAATTGGCAAAGAAATTTAAATTTTAAAGAAGTCTTCCTTGGACTTGAATGAGGTTTGTTGAGGCTTGACGAACTTTATTTTATGGTGGGGAAACTACAATATTCTAAATTTAAGAAGCACACATTGATGACTTTGCACAACAAATGAGGTGACTGCTATACATAGAGCATAAATCAGCTGCAAATTTTCCATATTGGGGGTCCAAAGTTGTATACAAAAACATGATTGCAGTTCCAATCACTGCATTTATCAGAAAACCAATGTTTGTTTCAGTTTTTGTTGATATTAATTCAAGGGATTTGGAAAATTTGTTGCTATCATCATAAAGGTTATCGCAATTGTGCAAAGTTCTTCTAAAATTAAATAAATTGGCTCCAATCATCCATAATTACCTACCTTAAGAATTAATTACCATTAAGAAGGCAATGAAGTATAATCCTTCCAATCAAATAATTGAAGTTTCAGTGCATAATGAGTCCCTATACTGTACTGATGAACTTGATTCTGTAAAATTCATGGAAGCTCATTACCTGAAAATTACATTAGATAAATAATGAAAATGAATAGTGGTTGCATACATCATGTACATATGTATTATTGATACAGACCTTTAGAACCCTCCAACAATTTATTGCAGTATTTTGAAGCTATTTACATTATGGTTCATCAATTTTGAGTATGTTGGAAATGCCTCCCATAAATTGTGAAAACTTCAAAAATAAATGTATGATCTAACAAATGTATACAAAATCCACTCAAAAACCTGTGATATAAAAGAAAAACTGCAATAAATGCAATGAAAATCATCAGAACAATGTTTCATCCACCTGAACAATTGTTGGTCAGCAAACTTCATCATTTTTTTAGGCAATTATTTTCCATGCAACTTCATGCACATGTTACATTCAAAACAATCATTTCTGGCAGCAGCCTCATACAGATGGTACCTCGAAATTTTATCTCCTGCAATTCAAACATCCTGCAATTTTACAGTCAAAGTTGCTGGGAGGTCAACTCTCAGTTCAGCCTCTGCTGCACAATTTCACCTGTGGAGATACTTGAAACATCAAATACCATGTAGAAAACGTGCCATTTTACATTGACTTGCAATTTAACCACTTAGCAATTCAACCCTTCTCCAGCAGCAACTGCTTAGGTTTGAGTTGTGAGGTACAACCAGCATGTGTCTTTTGTGCAAAAGAAAGGCATCCACTACAGTGGTACCCCACACTAGGAACTTAATTTATTCCAGAGCTACAGTGCAACATGTTTGTAATACAAAACACAATTTCCTATAGACTTGTATGGTAAATCATTTAATTTGTTCCACAAAACCAAAAAAAATTGAATTTTTCAAGGGAAAAATAAGTTGTGTCTTGAAGAGTAGTTTCATTTGGTTTCATACCAGATCCACCTTGCAATGAGCGCTGGAACAGACGGTTTTATATACTTTACGTCTTTACTGCGGTATTTTAAAATACCGTAGTATTATAAATTACTGCAGTTCCTGCTGTGGCCAGAATTTTTTGTTCTACGGTGGTGAAAAAAAGGATAAAAAAAATTCATTAAGCGGAGTTCATTGTACCAGGAGAGAGATGAAACATCAAATGCCATGTAGAAAACGTGCCATTTGACATTGACTTACATTTAACCAATTTAACCCCTTCCTAGTGCGGGGTACCACTTATCCAAGAGACTGCCCACAATACTATCTAATTTCGGTTATTGATCCCTTAATGTTCTTCACTTCTTCTTCCCGAATCTTTTTCACGCAGTTATTCACCCTGTACTTGGTGGACGTGTTGGACCACGAGAACCGGAAGCGGAAACTGCCGCTTTTCGAGGTTCTCGCGGCGGACGATAAGGACGCCGAACAGGACGCCGTCGTGCGTCCCTCGCCGGCGCTTCTCGCTCGCCGTGACTCCAAAACCGTGACTTGGAAGATAGACGTTGAGGAGGAGGAAGAAGAAGAGGACGCCGACGAGGTACAGAGCGACATCGCGGAGGAGATTGAGGAAACTGCGGACAGCACTCGCGGCTGCTCCGACGTGCTGGTCAACGTTGATGGAGTGGTGAGTTTACTGTGTGTGTATGGCTGCTGAAATCCTGGCATGCTTTTGGAAAATTGCTGCCTGCAGTTCTTGTTGGTGGGGATTTTTTAGGGAAAAAAAAACCCCCAGGGATGAAGAACTATAGGCAGGTTTAAACCCTTGCTGGGATTTACTTGCAAAATGTTGCGACACAAGGCATAAAAAATGCAAAAAATTATTATTATCAGGTAAGACGAAGTCCTGAAAAATCCTGAAATTTGTTGTAGACAAATTTTTAAATCTTTTCTCGCTTCATGGCATGTTTTCACATTCATTCCGTGTAGGATTTAGCATTGAGGGATTTCAAACACAATGGGGGTAACTTTACTGGATTTTTCAAGACTTGGACTACTGAGCCAAAGCAGCACTTTGGTGACCTTTGATCAAATCCAAATGTATGCAAAAATCTCCCAGCACTGCAGTGGGATGGAATTTGACCTGCTACCATCTATGTGTTAAAGCCTGTCTTCTTTGATTCCTGGATTCATTGCGTTCAAGGCCAGAGAAGACCATTAATAAAAAATAAGTACTGTACAGTAGAGAGTTATCTCAGGAAAAGCAAGAAGATTCAACAATCAGTTTATGCACTCATCTGTTGAATAATCCGCGAAAAGATAAAAGAATTTTTTTCTGTTGGAGGTTTATCCCTCAACACATAAAAACATAAGGACTTCCCCTACTACAGAATTCAAGGGAGAAAGGACCCAAAAAACTCACAATAAAGAGAAATTTCGCTGTTGCTCATAACATGTGGAGGGAACCTTACATGTGACTGAAAAAAGCATTACAGTGTGGCCCCCCGCCTAACAGACCTCCCGTGTAAGGGATTTTCGCAAAACAGACCAGCTCTGCAAGCAGTTTTTCCTCCCGCCCAACAGACAAAATCCGCCAAACAGACTTCTTTTGGTTTAAAATTAGTGTTGAAAATTGGAATTTTTAATTTTTTATGTAATTGAATTCATGTAAAGGACTTTTTGTTCAACAGACTCGTCCCTTGCACAAATCAAGTCCGTTAGACAGGGGTTGACTGTATACAGAGAATATTTTTGTAGGCAAGATCACTTTAGAGAAAATCCACCCGCGTAAAGTTGGTCCAAAATGTTGCAAATGAATTTTCTAATGAAAAAATTTAATGTACCTTTACAAATACCTTCACTATGACAATTTTTATTCAAACATTTATTCAAGGTTCTGGCCAAAACTCTTATGCTGAATAATGCAGAGAAAATTCCCACGCGCTCAGCAAAATGCTCATTATATAATGTAGCACATGCGGCCAATTTGTTTCTGAAGGATTATGATAATTTTCAGCAGTAAATGGCATGAATTGCGTGATGGAAGCTGTCAAGGTCTGTGATGAATGTGCTTAAGTACATTCCTAATGTGTGCCTCGCGCGTGCTGCAGCAAGTGCCTCTCATCCTCCATCTTTTCTGAAGATTTTCAAGAAAACCAACCATGTAATGAGTCTTAATTGAAGAGGGTAATTTTGTGAAATTTCCCAGACCCGAGGAAAGTGTGTCTATCATAATAGACGAGTAAAACCACACACACACAAAAAAACAGAAAAAGAACAATAATGGGGAAGAGAAAAACGGCGTTAGGATCATTATTACTGTACTTCACTGTTTTAATTTTTAATGTTTACCTGGGGATGGTGGAATAATGTGGTCCTTCTACAGTAATACCGGATCATTGTTATCAAGCCTCTCCTGGAACAAACTCTTAAAAAATCTACCCACATACTGTATATTATACTTTTTTACATACATATTCTTCTCTACTTGACTGACTAGATCAACATTTCATAAGTGACCTTCATATTAGGTTTTATCATTTGTTTCTAGGGTGTATGATGCAACTCTAGTAAATAATGAGCAAAGTGAGACCCCAAGATGCGGACGTAATTGGTGCATCAAGAGTGTCCCCAAGTCAAAATGTTCTTAGTCAAGTCATGTTTTCCCATAGACTTACATTATATAATTTTGATTGGTGTTTTATGGAA